CTCTCTCTCTCTCTCTCTCTCTCTCTCTCTCTCTCTCTCTCTCTGAAACAGCATCTCAAACTGTAGCCCAGGTGTCCTTAAACTCACTCTATAGCCCAAGATGGCCTTAAATTCATAATGGTCCCATCTCAGCTCCCAAGTGCTAAGATTGAAGTCATGCCCAGCTTAAAGTAATTTATTTCTGATGGCCTTTCCCCCCTAGAAGTTCCCTTTCATGTGTTCTTTTGCTCTTTGTTTCATGCTGTTTCATTTTTTTTTAAAAGAAGAGTCTCTACTTAATTGATTCAGGTTAAATCCTATGGGAACAAACGCCTTTTGTCCCAGGGATATTTATGAATTTAAAGATTTATTGAAACAAAGTATTTACAATAAAATTCTCTTTTAACCACACAGTTGGTTCAATTTCTGGGAGTATTTGGCAGTGAACTTTTGTCCATAGACATAACCATTATGATTGTCAGAGGTCAGAGGTCTGTACCTGTCAAAATCTCTATAAAAGTTGATTTGTTAGGAGCAGTCCTTTTCTCCTTGTGTGAATTCCCCCATAGAGACTCTATACAGTGGGAAATGGTTCTGTTATATACCAACATTTCTTCCTTCCTTGGGATCACTGTGTTATCCCTTTTTTCGTCTTCTCAGATATCTCTGACTGTGTAGTCCAATCACATGACAGTGTTCCTTTCACTCATTTTTGCTTTGTGTTTATATGTATGTGAAACCTCAAAGTGAATGCTTTTTATCTCTACTCGGAATGCCTGGTTTTGGTACAGTTTCTTAGTATGAATCAGAAAATGTTCTTTGTTAATTATGTTCTAAAATAATCAAATATGGAGTATTTTGCATAATCACCTATAATGATATGATTTCTATCCCTGGCTTAGTGATTAAAAGCACTTGCTGCTCTTGCAGAGGACCCAAATGGGTATAGTTCCCAGCATCCACATGGTAGCTCACAACTGCCTATAACTCATTTTTCAGGGGCTCTTACACCATCTTCTGGCCTCTCTGGACACCAGGTATGCACATGGTACACATGTGTGTACTCAGGCCAACACTCATACACATAAAATAAATAAATCTTTTAATATATGCTGGAGATCTTGAAGTATGATGCAATTCAAATAGAAATGTCTTGTAGCAAACATCAACTTTACAAGACACCTGATTTTCATCTGCAATGTACTGGTCCTATTATAGCAACTCTGTTGATGTTGCTCCATCCCACTAAGTTTGTGATGGTTTTATCCTATGTGATGCATTTTACTGAATACCTTCTTTTGGTCTTTTTGAGACAGGGTCTCCTTGTAGCCCCAGCTGTACTGGAACTCCCTATGTAGACCAGGCTGGCCTTGAACTCACAGAGAGCCTCTGCTGAGATTAAAGGCATGCACCACCACACCTGGCTTGAACACTTCCTTTTATGTGCTATTCCTATCATTTCCTATTAAACAGCCTCCTTGTTTATACAATATATATATATATATATATATATGTTATTGATTTTTTTGCATTTCATACAATGCATCTTAATCATATTGACTCCTTCCTCATCTGCCACCCCCATACACCACCCACAGGATTTCATGCATTCTGTCATGTGCCTTAAGGCCTCTCATGTCAACTTCATATCCCCAGATGTCCCTCTGTGTGAATTCATTCACTGGAGCCTAAAAATAGTCTCTTTTCTCTGTTTTTATACTGTGTGAATGGTGTGTTTTTATCTAGTCAAATTTCTGCCTTTGTGGAATTTTACTATCTGTCCTCATTCACTTATAGGCATGAACAAATATGTCTTCCGTTACGTAACTGTGCCGATGTTTAATAGTGATGAGTTGAAGGCTTCTGCCATGTTCTGTAAATCCACAGTAAAAATGCCCATTCCAGTAAAATTGCAACTAACAACTCCAGAGAAAGTAGAAACCCCTCTCAAGGAAGATGTAAAAGAACCAGTTGAGGTGAATATGCAAGTACCAGTCAAACTGAACATGGAAATACCGTCTAAGGCAAACGAGGATGTGTTGTCCAAGGCAAATGTGAATGTACCACTCAAGATGAACACGGAAGACACCGCTGAAGTTAATGTGGATGTTTCCCCCAAGGTGAATATTGGAGTTCCCATTGAGGCTACCATAGAAGGGCATCCTAAGTCAAATGTGGAAGAACTCCCCATGGTGAGCATGGATGCCTCTCCAAGTGTTGGATCATACCCCATTGTCATCATGGAGTCATCCCCTATTGAGAGTGTGGGATCATCCTCCTTAGTGAATGTAGAAATATCTCCTGTGGTAAGCATTGATGCCTCACCTGAGGCAAGCATAGATACCTCACCAGAATTATGTATGGACTCAGCAAGCTTGGAAATGCCCTCAGAAGCAAACATAGAAACACCCCTTAAAGCCAGCGGGAAATTACAGCTTGAGGCAAGTGTGGAAGCACACCCTGAGGCAAATGTTGAAGCATCAGCCAAGAACCCAGAAATGGACAAACAGACCTTAAAACTTACTACCAAGAAACAACTATCATCTAATATACCCTGTTACAAATGGCCATCATCCCCCACACTTGGGTGGCATCTACCTTCTCCCATGAAGGCTATGCAGATGAAAAAGAACCGACCTCCATCACCTCTACCAGTCTCAAGAAAAGTATCGACACAGACTCCTATGTCATATAAAATAACACCCGTTCAAAGTATCCTATATGTGCCAAATTCATTAGGTGTTAACAAGATGAGTGAGACGGTATGCCAAAAGTATATCACCAATCCAGAGTTGAGTAATAGAAGCATGCCACACAGTGATGCAGCCTTGAAAATTCCAGCAGAGATACACCAACCTGCTTATGAACAAAACAACCAAATGGAAAAAGACAGATGCACCAAAGAAAAGGAACAAAGTGTTACTGAGCAAGTGGATGCTATGGCAGATAAAACGGGTGAAGTCCCTGCTGAAGAACTGTCACCATACAAAGATGAGCTGCAAGAAAAAGATCTGACAAAGAAAAGGTGCCGTCTACCTTCTCCCATGAAGGCTATGTAAGCAACCTATTTTCAACTATTACTAATTTTACTGGGAACTATTTCATTTCAGCATTTCCTACATGAAATAATATATATTATAATATAATATAAAATATATTGTTATACTATACTATATGCATGGTAAACAAATGGAGATGAAAAATTAAATAGCTTTATTCTTGCCTATTGTAAAAATTTCCATTTGGTAATTACCTCATAATTTCAATGCATTTTGAATTATATACTAGCTAGGCATAGTGGCATTTGCCTTTAATCCAAGCCATGGGGAGATAGAGGCAGGCAGATCTCTGTGAGTTTGAGGCCAACCTGGTCTACATGGTGAGACCCTGTCTCAAAAATACTTAAAGTAAAATTTTATTTTATTATATATATGAATTATACTAAAAAGTAAAACTTGTTACTTTTTTCTCATCAGGCAGATGAAAAAGAACCGACCTCCATCAC